CTTATCTATAAACTGATTGTTTATGAACAAAATGGTTGCAAAATAATTTTCTGTAAAGTAATATGTATTCGGAATTACCAATATAGCTGAGATTATGATGAATGTTGTATAATATATTTTCGCCAATACTGTAAAAATATCATTAAAAAAAAGCAAACAAATACTTATAATAACGACGATTTTTTGTGACAATATAACCGAGATTATGAATATATTTTCGCCAATACCGTAGAAATATCAAAAAAAAACAAATACTTATAATAGCGACGATTATTTTTTTGAGCAATTCACTTTTAACTTTTAATAATCATATAATTGTACAAATTTAAACTTATTTAATAAAAATTCTTATATTTTATTTAATAAAAATTATTTCAACCGACGTTAAGTAACTATTTAACTATTCCAAGCTTGAATTACAAAGTATAAAGAATTTTAAATAAAGTATATATTTGCATTCGTGATTAAAAAAATAACTTGCGATCCGTCTTGGTCACACTATAATACACCTTTTCTGACATAACTAGTTCTCTATCAAACTCAAACATAAAATTCGGCATTAGTTATAGGAATGAAATAAAAAAATAAAAAAATAAAAAAATAAGAATAAAAAAGAATAATACAATCGTCTTGATCACACTATACAAGTCACTCTCGTTATAGTGAAGTGATTGGGATGAGAGATTTTCTTCGTTATATTGAGAGCCTATTAGTAAATTCACTATATCGAGAGGATTTTTATATAAGCTGTTCTTCACTATAACAAAAGGTTCACTATGATGAGAGTTCACTATAACGAGAATAACTTGTAATACACCTTTTTTGACATAACTAGCTCTCTGTATCAAACTCCAAACATAAATTTGTTATTAGTTATAGGAAATGAAGTGAAAAAATAAGAAAAGAAAAGAATAATGCGACAAACTTTATTTCCTGGTTGTTATGGGAGTAGACCGCAATAATAAGTTGGAGTGGCAAAAAAAACTTCTACATTCTGCAATTGTTAAAGCCTTTGCCATATTATATAATATGAAACAACGAACGTTTTTTAGAGGCCGCATTCTTCTCGGTTTTATTTTGTATCGTATTTTAAACTTGCAATTAATAAAGAAATTAAACTTTCTGAGCGGTCGTACTACATTTATAAGTGCAGTTTCCTTTTAAGAAACCCTTGAAATAAATGATTGAAAGTAGGCGACCGTTGCAATTTACTATGAAAAATTAACCCATCATATGCATGTCGATCACTCAAATTTCATAGTAAAAAATTTACCCCTGTGATCTGCGTGACAAATCGGGTGACTGTTATTTTATGATAACGTGATTACCGGATTACTTATTATTTAACTTTTTCTTTTTAAATAGAACTTATCTAACAGAATTTCAACGAATTTGACGATGACTTTTAATAAAACTGATCTCAATAACAATGGTCTTCTTAAGTAGAACTTACCTCAACGAATTTGACCATGCGACGACAACTTTTAATAAAACCTGTTTTCAATAATAACGGTCTTCTTTTTAACATTTTGGTGTAAAGGGTGGTGCTGTGGCGTTGTTCGTTTCTTGCATTTACAACTAATAAAACTTAAAGTTAAAAACAGGTAAAAGCGTCCTTTTTGAATAATATGACTGATCACGTGGCAAGCGCTGAAGAAAGTACTTTCGACGACACAGTTAATGCTGAAGCTGGTCCTTCTTATGTGGTTAATTCTGAAGCTGGTCCCTCTTAGTGATTAATTATGAAGCCAATATTTCTTATGTGGTTAATGCTAAAACTGGCACCTACGAGACTTATGAATATATAATTGAGGATAAGACTAGTAACTCTTGCAAAGGTGTGCCTCTTGGGAAAATTAATGAAGGTATTGTTTGCTTAGATTCATTATGGTGAATTTAGCATTTTGACGCACTACGAAGTGTATCATTTACTATTTGTTGTTTGACATTTCTTATGTAAAATCATATAGATAATGTTTAACCCATCTTCCTGTGTAAATTACACGGGAAGATACACGGAAAGATGGGTTAGACGTTATCTATATGATTTTACATAAGAAATTTCAAACAACAAATAGTAAATGACACACTTCGTCAAACAACAAATAGTAAATGATGCACTTCGTCAAACAACAAATAGTAAATGACGCACTTTGTAGTGTGTCAAAATGCTTTGATTTCATAAATTCGCCGTAATGTCACTTTAATGTTTATTTTAACTTTGTAAAGCTTTTAATAGAAACGTGAGTTGACTTTTCTTCCTTAAGTGTTGGTTATACGTTCCAAACGTGGGATGAGGTTGATTTTTTTTCAAAGCTTACAATCAACACTTTGGATTTTCTGTCATCAAAAAAAGAGTTGAGCAATGTAATGACGGGATAATTGGCATAGATCGTTTGATATGAATTTGGAGGAAAGCACAAGTCTAAAAAAAGCATTGATATTAAAGCTCATTATAATAAAAAATTAAAACATTAGGGATGTGGATAGCATATCAACTTGAGTTTTCCTAAACAATCTAGTAATATTACAGTTACAACTTTTGTCAATAACAACTATGAATTTAGTCCAGAAAATAGCTAAATTTCAGTCAATTGAAAAGGATGTGCTCAATGACATAGAATTCTATACAAAAAACAGAAACCTTTTATAATCTTTTTAAATGCAAATCTTGCTAATACAATTCAAAGTTATAAAGTCAAAAGTAAAAATCTTAAATTAGATGCTTTGCATCTTTTATCATTTTTTATTGAGAAATGTTTGGAAGGATGGTTTGTTGAATTTGAGTTGGACAGTGACAACCGTTTTATTTAGATTTTTTGAATAACTACTAAACAAATATCTCTCTGGTTAGAATATTACAATGTTATTCTTAATGACAATACAGCCAAAACAAATAGATATCAAATGTTGCTTAGTTTGTTCTTAGCTGTTGATAATAATACTAAATCCCATATAGTAGCACAAGTGCTAATATCCGATGAAATAGTTGACTCTTATCAATGGATTTTGCAATGTACTAAAAAGGCTATAGAAGCTGAACCTTTAGTCTTTATTACAGACGCAGATCCAGCAATAAATAATGCTTTGAAACAAGTTTATGAAAATACTAACTCTTTGCATTGTATTTATCATATTAGTCAAAACCTTTCAAAAAATTTAAAATCAATATTAGGTAATATGTATGATCAATTTATTAAGGGTTCCTTTCAGACCATAATACTTTGGATGAAAATTTGTTTGAAATAAGATGGCAGAATTTATTAGAAAAGTTTCCTGCTATTGCAAATTACTTGAATCAAGCACTTTATCATAGTCACTATTCATGGGCATCCATTTTTATATCCAAAGTTTTTACTATCAGAATACAAACTACATCTAGGGTGAAAGAGTATAATAGTTTATTAAAAGTGTGTTATATAGTAATGGTAGTTTGTATAACCTACTTAAGACTTTAGATTTGCAATTAAAAAAAGAGGCTGAGTAGAATTGTTTCTTTGAGTATCAAATTTTGACATTATGTGTTGGGATTGCATCTGTTTGAAGTGAGATCTTTTTTACTGTTGATCATATACTTTCTGAATATTTAACTCAACAAATTCTTTCTGCTAAATATACTGAAATTGTCTAGTGTTTGTACTTTAATATGATGTTGGTTAATCAAATAATGATTAGATTAGATAGTGATAATGATAATATAGGTGACTAATTTATAGAAGACATTTATGATGCATGACAAATATTACTCAAATTAATAGTGAAAAAAGTTAATCAATTAAATATTCAGGAAATTTGGCAAATTGTTAATAAGTGGCAAGGAAACAATTAGCGAAAGCATTTTATAATAATTATTGATTCAGTTTCTTATTTATGTACATGTATGTCTAACATCTCTCATAGTATTATATGTTAATATTACTTTCAAATAATGTTGGCATCATGAATTTCTGAGTTTCACATTAAGATGGTTGTATCATGTTGATACTGTGATAATAAGAAAGAGACCAATAATCAACTAGACATAGTTTTTGCAAATAATGATGCCAATCAGGCTCAAAATAAATTACACTAACAATTCTAATAAATCTTCGACCACTTACTATTCTTTGTTCAGTGGCATTAAGTAATAAATGTATAGCTGTTAGATATTCTAAATTTGGTAAAATATGGAGTCTTGTCTGACAAGTGACACAGCTTGCAGTTGATTGCAATGATGATGAAATAACCCAATGGTTGAAAGACTTTATTAATCAAAAGAACATCATTTTTTGACTGATAATAGTGATAAAGAAAATAACTTAGCAATTGCTAATCCACTAATTAATAGCCATAAAGGCAGACCTGAAACCAAATGATACAAAGCTATCATTGAGAAAACATCTCGTCAGCCATATACTTGTCATAGTTGTGATCAAACTAGATGCAATAGTGCTAGATGTCAGAAAAAAAGTAATTGACATTAGTGTGATATAAGTATATTGTGGAGGGATTATTGAAAGATTTGGCATTGCATATTATCACTTAACATATGTTTATTATATATACTGTTGTTTTTCTAGTTAGTTGCAAGTATGATTGTTGCATGTATGGTTTGTGCTTAGATATATTGGGTAGAAGTGTTTATTGGATGGAAATTGTTTATTTGATGAAAATTGTTTATTTGATGTATAATGATAATTGTCATTTTATTTAGTGTTAGAATTGATTAAATATAAAGATCTTAGATTTATAGTATAAGATTGACAGGGCATAGGATCGATTTTCTGATCACATAACTTTCTGATCTTTATTTTTGACACATGTCAATAACAAATAATTTATTGCATTGTATTACTTAAGCAAATTTGTACAACAAGAAAAAAAATTTATCGTTATTATACTAAGACAAAAATAAAGTTCAAGGTTTTGATCCCCACCAAGTAGAACTATGCTGTCACCTGTTTTGTGCTGTTTTTATATCAGTAATGATTGTAAAAACATGATCTAAGTTATTTATAACTGCCTCTACATGTTGTAAATTGTTGTTTGTTAGCTCTATATTTAAATGACCAACTAAACGATTTAGTAAAGCTATTTTAGATTCAATTTCTTGACGTCAGTTTATATCTTTAGTATTTTCTTCAGCATAGTTTTCTAATGAAGCTAGATCATATAGTATTAAGTTTGGAATAGTTTCAGGTACATCTTGAGTTTCACTTTCATCTCAGATTAAAAATAGGTAATCAGTTTGTCGTTTAAAATGGCTATTAAAAAAATAAGGGTAGCTACATATCCAGCAGCTCAAATCGATATAATAGCATTCACTAATCTCTTTGTCAATTAATTTATTAGCAAGATTCTTCCATTCCTTCTTAAAGTCATCAAACCATAATGGAGATGTTCTGCCAAGTGAAATTTGTTGAAGGTGAGTAATTTGGTTAGACAATACTCGAGTACAAATAATCTAAGTAAGATAATCAAGTCTTGGGCAGTTAAACTAGTAAAGATAATTGTGTTTTAAAACCTTTCAATGGGTCTCGATCATCATATTAGTTTTACTAAGAGGTATTGTTTCCTGTGTAGAATGGGCTCAAAAACACTATCTGGAAGGTTTGTACTAGGCACACCACAAATACGCCTAAAGTAATACAAGATTATTTGTAGTGTAAAATTTATATATTTCATGGACTGCGTTTATTCTTATTACTTTAGAAGACAAAAATTGATCATCAGCACTAGTTAGAATTTTGGAATGCATATTGAAATGCTTTTTAATAAGGTCATCGATATCTTCATACAGGTTAGATAGACAAATAATGTAGTATTCTTTATCATTATGTTTCAAATCAGGTTTGAAAGAAGGATCAACAAAAGAAAATTTATTCGCAACTTCATCATGCTTATAGTCAGTTTGTTTGATTTTATTTTTGCTTCTAATTTTTTTCTTAAGAGCTTTTATAATATTCTATAGACAGAGTTGTATATTATATGCCAGCCATATTTTTTTCACAGCATTTATTTCAACAAAGTCCTTATCAATATAAAAGTAGATAGGATGCAAACCTTTGCTATAAAGAGCACCAAAAAAACCTTCAAGAGCTTTAGTTTGCAGTTTCTTTTGTATTTCATTATCAACTTTTGTTGTGTCAAGTATGAGATAAGCCAAAGAAAAACCCGCACCTGTATATAAGTAACTATAGTTAATATAATGATCTTAAATATAGATGGGTAGCAAAATTCAAAAAAGTAAATTACAATAATATTTCTTAATTATTAATTTATATTGTAATAATTTTTTTTTAAATTTCACCACGCATCTATAATCTCAAAAAAAAAAAAAAACATCTTCAAAATTTCTAATGATCCCATAGAGTTCAAAACGTTCTTTAGAGGTTTTGTACATAGTATCATAATGAATCTCTAGTATGTTTTATAATGAATAAAATAAGGAGGTTGTAAACCCGATTGCTATAATATAATCAGTTTCTATCCGAATACACAGGTTATAATTATTTTTTTTCTGCTGCTTAAGAAAAGTGGATGCAAATATAACATGATTTTTTTCACTTTTATAAAATTTTTGTGCATAATAGGACTACCAGTAGTGGATTTGTTTTGAAGTAATTTTAGATATATCAAATTTCTTTCAAAGATGAGTTTGTAAGTATACTGAATCCATATTTAGGTTTTCTATAATTTCTTGCTTTACTTCTGGATGTGTTGCAATATCGATAGGTCTTTCATGTACTAACTCATGCCGCAGTCTTACTTTGACTTTTGCAACTAGAATATCAACATTAATTGTTAATTTGCTACTATAATTGAAATGATCGATTTTTTTGCAATTCGAGTCTTTATATTCAGATTTTATCTCAGTACTTTGAGAACATACAAAGTATGCATTACTAACGCCTTCAAAATATGATGAAATGTTTGACACAGTTGTAGCGCTATATAATTAGAATATTAGATTAAAGATTAGAGTTTAAAAGAAACATTTTTTAAAAAAAATTAAAGCAAGTAATTTTATAATTTACTTACATCCATTTAAAATCGTTTCCTTCTTTAATTTCATCGATGATCAGTTTTGCCATTATTCTAACATTGTTGCCAACACTATTAAGAGTAGCTTCATTAAGTTTAACATAAAAAATAGAAAATAGAGTAGTATTATGTTCTAATCCATCAATCATGTCAAAAATATAATTATTAATTTTATTAATTGCAATTATTTCAATAGGGGCTCCTTCACTATCAATATCAGCTGTTTTTTTGAATTTTTTTTTTCAGCTCTATTAGTTTTGCATTCAGCATATGTCTTATATGATTTATTTTCATATATAAATGCTTTAGGAGAAAGATACGATTACAAGAGGTGCAGGTATTCATTAGACCACAATTGCATTAATTCGATTATAGTTAAGGCTTTAGAGATAAGTTTTTAAAAAATTTTTGTTAAATTATTTAATACTAACAAATCTATTATATAGGCATTTTGTAATAGTAAAAATAAGGTAATAATTAAGCAATTCCGATTTATTTTATTATTTTTCGATTTATTTGTAATTTATTTGACTTTTATTTTTTTTTTAATTAGGGTTACAAATTACTATTTTATTAATTTGTATAAAGTTAGAGTAATACATTTTATGCAAATTATAACTACAAACTTTCACATAATTTTACTTAGAGATGGGTACAGTCAGTTATTTTTAGTCAACCGGTTTATTCTTATTGGCTGTATCTTGTGATCTACTGATTCAAATCAGATAGTTTCAATACCATTCAATTCATCTAATTGAGATAGTCAAATAGTTCCAAAATCATCTTATTTGGATCACTATATCACAAGATACAGCCAACGATCATAAAATAGTTGACTAAAAATAATTGACTGTACCCATTTCTAATTTCATTATTATTTTATATCAAACGATACAATACTCGAGATATAGAGTACTAAATTAATTAGTTAAATTAGTAGAAAATTAGTTTATTCTGCAAGCAATTTTATTATTACGATGAAGAAAAAAAGCTAGTTCAGTGACTCTTTATATTTATTAAAAAACTGTAATTTGTGAAATTAATATTTAACTTTGCAGCATGAATCTTGTGCAAAAATTATCATAAAGATTGCCTTAATTAATCGTAGTACTTGGACACACTTTACAACTAGTTCATCACATTAAAAAATAGTTGAGATCACTCATAATCTGGTCAAAACTACCGAAGTTACATAATTCACATATAACCAACTATAATCTATTTAATTTCGACTATATATTTGTTAATTTGTAGTGGACAATTTGGGATTTTATCGATTGTATAATAAAGCCAAATCAAATAAACTGCAAATTATCATTAAGATTTATTTGACCTGATTTATTATTTAATTTATGATTTATATATTAATAAATTGTTTATTTTAAATTTCTTTTCATGCTTCAAAAAAAAAAATAAGCCTTGAGTATTTATTTATTACGTTTGCTAATCAAAAGTCTAATGCAAATTTGATAATGCAATTCAATTGATCGATTGGACAGACTATACCAGAGATGTGTAATCTAAGTCAGAAAGTCATATAATTGGAAAATCGATCCTATGCCTTGGCATTGTTTTTATAGTATAGTAATTGCATATTTAATATAGACATATAAGAATTGGATAGTATATACATACTGTATTTTCACATAATAATGTGTAAAGGTGTAATTTTGAATTTTAGTCCAGATCGTTATTCAAAATTATGCCTATATGTATTATTATATGCAAATATAGTATGATTGCCAAAATTTTGTTAACAATTAACTAGTGTTCTTTTAAAGGTTGGATATGTATATTATGGCACAAATTTGTTTTTAGATCAAGTTAAACTTGATTCGAATCAAATTGATTCTTAGCAGAATTTTAAGGTTAGGTTAGGCTGGAATTATATTAATGCTGACTGGGGTTTTTTAATTGATTAATTTGAACTGAGTCAAGTTTAACTTGATCTAAAAACAAATTTGACCTGTAACATATATAGTTCAAATTAGTGTTGTTAAAATATGTATAGTATAAATACTCTAATGATATTCAAATCACTAAAAAATCTATAACTTTTTTGTAGCTATCAAATTATGATTTTCTTTTTGCAAATTTGTCTATATTCATTAAGCAGTATAATCATAAGAAAAACAGTAAAGACTTTTAGATATATCATATTGTACTAATAATTATAATGTATATATATTACCAGATACCTGCCAATTATAATATTATATTTATTATATTATCAAAACTTCTAATTAAAGTAGGTTAGAAGAGTATTGTTTAGAATTATATTTGAAATCTAATTTAGATTATAGTTATATTCGACTTATTATAAATAGTATTTTTTTGTATTTATTTTTTTTATAATTCAGCAGTTCTGCCACTTTTTATTTACAGATTAACTAAATTAAGAAATTTATATTTCCTAATAATAGCTATACTAATCTATTTGTAAAGTAGCTTACCCATGCTTTCGCCAGATATGATTTGTCTCAGTGGACTTCAAGCCTCTTTCTGAGCCTCTAACTTACTAGAGGTTATCCTTTAGTCATGGGCTGGTGCTACACACTATATCAAAGTTAGCTTTCCTTTTTACCAAATGAAATACAAACACAAATACAAAGGGCAAAACAAAAATGAGAAAATACTATGCCATCAAGTTTTGGTCCACCTAAACCAATAAAACCAAATAAAACAAATAATGAAAAAAGAAAAAAAAAGAAAAAAAACAAAGATAGCACTATTAAACTTATGCAGGATTGTAAAAATTATATAGTTTTACAAATAATTTAAATTAAAACTCTATACTAGTTATTTATGTCTATATCCAGGATATAAAAATGTAAAAAACCATCTGGTCTTGAAGTAGAGCTTCAAGGGTCGAAACTTCTAGTTGCTATTCCAAACCGTCGACAAGCCTTTTGCAATATTTCAACCTGTAACTTCCTGGTCAAAGTTTGCGAGCTGTTGTTCGTCGGCCCATATCAGCGAATCAGGCACTCTTGGTGTAGCTACCATAACCTCTTGAGGAAAAAATATCTAACACTATAACCTAAAGTATACATGTACACATATACATATATTTTCTTTTTCGGCAGCGATTATTGTTATCGATCTTTTGATGAAGATACGCCATTTTCCTACTTTTTGTAAAAATTTCGCAAAGACCAAGAGAGTAGAGTATGGAAGAGAATTTTGGTTTGCAGGTAGCCTTAAACTTCGGTAAGGAGTGTGTTGAAAACTCGCTTATTGTTCTCCTTAGACCAACTATCTTTAACTTTGTCAGCAGAAGTAGAGCTTTTATTAAAATTTTCTGTACAAGGACACCACCTTTTTGCCAGTTATCTTGTATAAAAATGCTTTTAACTTGTATACTGAATATACAGAGAAGTCTGAAGGAAATATAAAAATCTTTAATCTCTGTAAAAACCATTATTGTATAGTTGTTTCTTCTACTTTTCTCTAACAAGTTTCTGTTTTCATTAGCTGTAAGTTTGGTACAAGTGATCGTTAGAAGAGTTGATAATTTTTTTGTATTTATTATAATATTAATAAAATTAATAAAATTATAAAATTAGATAAATTTATATAATTTAATAAATAGTAACAAATTACAAATATAATATACAGTATTGTGATAAATAAATTTTTTATTATTTATAATTTGTTAATTATTTTAAGACAATTTTTATTTAAACACTAGGTGTATTAACACTTAGTTATATAAAACAAATAGAAAAGCTAATCAAAATATTTGATTAAATGCATATTATATATCATTTTTTGTGCAACAAAAATAAAGCAAACTAAATAAAAACTCTTTCCGACGATCCCTCAAAAATTACAAAAAATAACAAAATAGAAGAAACCTACAATAAAAAGTACCTAAATAAAGCCAGAACATAGACAAAATTAGTACAAA